ATAAAAGTAAGATTTACACTCGTATAAGTCAACCAAACGATATACAATTATATATCTGAGTTGTGCTAGCCTAGCACAAGTCAGCACAAGTTTCAGTTTCGCCAGCACAAGAATCTAAAGGGCACTTTACTCTTGACCGCGGCCTTTGGCGCTCGCAGTCTTTGTCATTAATCACCACTTCTAGATTTTGCATCGACTCAGATATGCAATTTTGAGTCGATGCAAAGTCTAGAAATAGTAATTAATGGCATAGATTGCGAGCGCGAAGGGCCCCGGTCAAGAGTAAAGTGCTCTTTAGATTCTTGTGCTGACGAAACTGAAACTTGTACTAGCCTAGCACAACTCAGATATGCAATTCTGAGTCAATACAAAGTCTAGAAATGGTGATTAATGACAAACTGCGAGCGCGAAGGGCCGCGTTCAAGAGTAAAGTGCTCTTTAGATTCTTGTGCTGGCGAAACTGAAACTTGTGCTGACTTGTGCTAGGCTAGCACAACTCAGATATATAATTGTATATCGTTTGGTTGACTTATACGAGTGTAAATCTTACTTTTATCCTATTTGCCTAAAATCGTTTTTTTCGTCTTATTTCTTTCATGATTATTTTTTGAAGATACTACTTTAGCACAATGTTAGCACAACCTAACACAATAAAAAAATTTCGAAAATCGAAAAGTGGGGGACTACCAAAAAACGATTTTTTCCATTTTTCTTGCTCATTTTTCATATTAAAAATTTATAATTCGAACACAATGTAGCACAAACCTAGCACAAATTAGCACAACTGTCAAAATTATTAAATTTGAAAAGTGGGGGGCTAACTTCATACAGGCTCAAAGTGGAGATTCGGGAATTCGAGAAAATCCAATTTTGGGGGCTTAACTCAAGAAAGGTAGCGCGAATACTGGACTCGGAATTTTCATCCTACTTTCGTTGCCTTAACGTTGTTCCATTTAACGCCTCTCTCGACACTCCGTACATCAATCTTTTTTATTTTACTTAACCTACTAACCTTACCGAGAGCTCTTCTTTAAAACGTACAGACATTTTCTATGGTTCCTGCTACTTAGAGGTGGTAAGTAGAATTTCAGATTCTCTACATGTGTATTAAACATACATTGATCTCTCAGCATATTCAGATGTTAGAAAGTTCAAGTCAAAAGTAAGGCTAGAATTCAACAAACTTTCATGATTACCACGACATGAGACAATCAATAATGGAAAGTCTACAATTAATTTTTTTAATTATATTTGTGAAGCAAACGTATTAAATTTTTGACGATGCAAGACATCTCTAATGATCGATACAATCGTTTGCGCGAAGCGTAAGTTTCCGCGAGGCGTGATGGTGGATCGCGGGGTTATCCAAAGCAACAGAATAATTTCTTCTCGTGCAAACCGCTGATACACCGTTGATACGCGTGGCATGAGATTATGTTTCAGTTTCCAGACGGCAGACGCGTGACTGGCGTCGACCGACTCTTCCGACCGCGAAATCTCGCCTCGATTGTCGTCATTTCGCGCTGCATCCGGCGTCGGCCCGGCGACCGCTGATATTACTACACACATCGCATCCTGAATGACGAATTCGGGGTATCCCCCGGTTTAATTATAACTCCGTATCTTTATCTGCTGGATGGATGCGATTCGTATGTATCATTAGCCGCGATAATAAATCACGATCCGCGGCCTACATTGTGCGCCGCGGCGCAAAATCGCACGAGTCGTGCCAAGAGAGTCGCGCGCCCGCCAAAAATTGCTCCAAGTTGGTTTGATGAAATCCCGTGGTCACGGCGTGCCGCACCAGCGCAATGCATCGTGTCTCGTTTCCGTAGACACGCGACGTTATTGCAGCTGAATTCGTCAAAACGTGAGGCATCAAAGAGTCACAAGTGTACGACGAGAATATACACGGCGGCACGGAAAATAAATGCGAATTCCCGGGAGCGGGTTATTGGACCGTTTCGCACGTCGGGACATTGTTAAAACTTCACGTCGCAGCTGGAGCTTATTTAAACGTAAGATGATTTCCCAGCACCGGGACACTTTATGAATATGTGAAGCGAAAGGGAAGAGAGATCACTGAAAATTATTCTAGGGTGTCGCAGAACAACCTCCGAAGCTCTCGTGGAGGTATAGTACGAATTGAAGTGAACGTCCTGTACCGTTCTGTGATATTCACAATAGTTATTGAGATATTAATTAAAGAAAATTTGTGAACGATCACAAGATACAAGAGATATGTGAGATATGGTAGATGAGCTGTAACGCAGACGTTCGCTATCGTGTACATTAGATGAAACTGAACAAAAAAGTTTTCTACCATCTTGCAAATGAATACATAGATTTTTATATATTAATTAAAGAAGATTTGATCGCGCACAATCGTGTAATAATTTTCTTTTATTAATAACTAAAAATCTACATGGTTATTTGCAAAATGATTAAGGGCTTTTTTTATAATTTGATCTAATGCACGCAACAGCAGAATTAAAAAATAAAAACTATTTATTCCGTGAGTACTAATAATTTATTTGTACTAATGTATATATTTTTATATTGAAAAAACATTTTTTTAATGAGAAAATATTTTTCTGAAATCATTGTTTCTCATGAAAATTACTTATTACACAAAAATTTAGAATTAAAGAAATATATTATTAATATCTGCTAATAAATAAATAAATATATATATATATATATATATACATAATTATATATATATATATATATATATATATATGCATAATAAATATATACATACATACATACATATATATATATATATATATATATATATATATATATATATATATATATATATATATAATTTTATAATATATATAATTTTAAATATAATTTAAAAATTAAATATAATTTGAAATATAATTTATAATAAATATAAATATATATATTTATATATTTATATATAATATATATTTTATAATAAATATAAATATTTATTTTTCTTTCTTTTTTCTCTCAGTAGGAGATTTATTTTCTTTTTTTCTCTGTCGGCGCCATGCGTCGAATATTTACTATACCGAAAGAGTTAAATGAATAAAATGTTAATATTATCCTTAAAAACAAGACGTCTGTTCGAGTCTTTTATCAATATTTGAGGCAGTTTCTATATGGGACAATGGATTTCCTAGAATAGGTTCTGCATCGAGCTCGTTGTTTAAGCGATAATGAATTTTTTTCCATCCAAAGTATCCAAGCGCAGCTGCGACTCGCATAAAAAGTTAATAACGGTATGGTAGTGCATCAGTGGATTAAACGACAGACTATTGTTGGCTCAGGTGGCCGTTGTTCTCTGTCGACCGCTTTCTTTCTCCCGCTTCTTTGTACACTCCCGTAATTCCACACCGCCTCGTTTCTCGGGGTCTCTCGTAAAGTCTTTCTTTTCTTTGCCGTGGCTACTTTATTCCATCGCGCGAAAGCGAAACAATTGAATCATCGGCCAAAGGATATACCGGATTATTGGAATATGTAGTGCGTGACTGGTTGACGTAAATTGATCGCGCGCGCAAACGGCTGTCACGCTCGATTTATGGGGTATAATTCAGTGGCATATGGAATAACGAAGACTTTCTGTGAGAATCAAACACAGAGATCTCTCGAGACAAATGTTTTTACAATACTTTTTACTTACTTGCGTAAAAATGTTAAAATTTCCTTGTACTACAAGTTTTTTTTATTATTTCAATGTAAAATTAACATGCAACTGATACATTATTATTTTCATGACGTCTTAATGTGTTACATTTATACTTTATAACTTTATAACTAAACAATTTGTTGTGCGTCATTTAGAAATGAAATATTACTTTGAGCTATTTTAATACAATTATTCCGAAAGGTCAACTTTTCTTTTAAAGTCTTTGATACTAACAAAAGTTAAAGTACTTAATACATGTCTGTGTATTAATTTATGTTTGTGATATTTTGAAATGTTATTTAATATATGTAAGTGTTCAAGTAACATTTGTAGCGTTAAAATTACACATTTTATACTCTATTATAGATTAATATGTAGATGTTAAAATTTCGAAAAATTTCCCGAGTATTTTAGATAAAATCACAAATAACATCTCTTTTAAAAACAATACAATAAGAAAGAAATGATAAGTAAAACATTTTTGTCAATGTAAAAGTAACATTTTTCTTGGTGTTTCACTTGACATTTAAAATATGTCAAATTTACATAAAATTTGCTTCAAAATAGTGTTAAATAGTGTATTAAATTTTTGTATTAATTTTTTACACAATATTTCTATTTTTCTTTTTTTTTTACATACCCGCCTTGTGTTAAATTAACACGAAAATCGTGAGTGGAGTTTCTGAGACATGTGAAATGTCTTAAACTTAACATAAAAATTTTTCACCGCGTTTTTTTACGTATTAAACTTCTCTGCCTTGAATTAATTAGTAAAACGAAGAGATACGATCAAATTTATCGGAGTCGACCGATGAAGCTGCAGGGACATTAAGCTGACATTAAGCCAACAGAACGTATTAATTGCACTCGAGACAATTACGGAATCACGTGTAATTAAGCACGATACAGATGCGTGCCAGGACAGCGTCGCGTTTCACCACTATCGTCATTAATCACCGAAGGTCCGTGAAGGATTCGCAGGTGTGGTTGCGCAAGTGAAAGAGAGCTTCGACGTGAGTGGCCGTGAGCGCGCAATAAGGAGGTGGCTCTCCGCGAAATCCGCTCACGGCGGGTCGCGGCTTTTATCGGTCTCGGCTCGATAATGATTTTTTAATGACGTCCGGGAAGCTTCGTTCTGCCGCGCGTTCCCACGCGCACCGCCGTTACGCTACTTTTTCGTCGCATGTTAACTATCGATACTGTTCCGCGAGCACGCAGTCGAAAGCAACAATTCAGAACGAGCCAGTACTTTGTGTTCCGCACGGAGAAAACGCCAAGGATATCGCACTTCTCTGCCAGTTCAGTAAGGTTATGATATGACTTTAATTATAATGGCTTTAAACTTATCCGCACAAGGTCGGAAATCGTATAACTCTCACAAGGAAACCCACACGGAAAGAAAAGATTTGGTTGAATTAACCAAATATCTGGTAGAATATGAACGATCCAGAAATTCCGATTGAAGTAACCCGAATTCTGTTTAAGTTAACAAGATTTTTGGTAGACTAATCAAACATGTCTGATTATTTAACCAGTTAAATAACCAAACATGTTTGGTTAGTCTACTAAAAATCTTGTTAACTTAAACAGGATTCGAGTTATTTCAATCTCAATTTCTGGATCGTTCATATTCGATCAGATATTTGGTTAATTCAACCAAATCTTTTTTTTCCGTGCATACAAGTGTCCGCCTCCAATTTTCATGAACATACATATAATAAAAAACGTATCTGTTATTTTGATCTAAAGTACAACACATTACAAGTTCATGAAAATCGGAGGCGGATACTTGTATGAGTTTCCTTGTCAGTTTATATAAAAATTGGTGAGGCATACATAGACCTCTTTCCTCATTTATAGTCGATTTGCGAAGACGAGACACGGCAGGCTCGAATCAATCGAATTAACACCATTTGTGGGACGATCGATTCGCGTGCGCTCTTACAGAGCGGATCGGCTGGAGAGGATAACGCAAATTAACGGGCGCGTAACTCTCGCAGATGACGCGGAAGATCGCGCGCGCACGTGTGTATGTGTGTACGTGATGCGAAAGCGTGGCCTCACGCATTACACGCGCGTTATTACGCACACAGCGAGGCTGCTTTCACGCGGATACGTCACGCGGGCTTATCCCATTTGGATATCTGCCAATGCGCCGATGGTCTAACTCTCGTCAGATGCGCCTAAAATAACGAATCGATCAAGCTTAACGCGCGAAACTTTCGACGTTGATCGACCGAACGGCGGAGCGAATAAACGAGTTGCAAAATCTTTGATATTCGATACGGAGGTGGGCCTCATCGCGAGAATAATATCCAGGGAAATCGCTGTCTTCGAAATAACTTCGTGCTCTTCAGAGTATCGGAGCTTCGGAGAAGAGTCTCCGGCGAAGAAAATCTCCGCGAGATTCTCATTCAGCGGCGAACGCTTCCATTATTCACTCGTGTAACGTAAGGACTCATTTTGCAGGTCGTTCTTCGAATTTTTCAGTTAATTCTTGAATTCAAGAACTACAAATTTATGATCTTACGAAAGAAGATTGCTGATTTATCTCTAGTAGCACAGTTTGTTAGGACAATATTGGCTACAAATCGAACCCCAATATACCCAATATTGGCCGAATATTGCAAAGTAAAGGTGTGCATTTTATAGTCAATATAGAATATTAACAATTCATTTGCTAACTTTATTAGCTACATATTAGCTCGATATACTCTTAATGTATATTAGTACATTCATGTTGTGCAATATTGGCAATTTATCCACATTATATTTATAATCAATATTGGCTATATTTTGGCTATATTGATCCAATGTATGTCCAATGTAACGTCAATAAACTGTGCGACTAAGGATTTTTTGAATTTTACTTCCATACTTTCTGAATTCTACGCTAAATCTCCTTATTTTTCCAGGAACGTTACGTAATTTGCAATTATTAATGCAGGCATTATGTGCACATGACGGGTTATCAATAATACGAGTTTTCTTCGTCGACTATCAAGAGATCGAACGACTTCGCGACGCTCGCGACTCGGGGCGAAGTAGCCGATAAATAGTCTTCCAGCGTCCAGAAAATAGGACGTCGAGCTGTTTTCGACGGGGGATGTAAATGTTTATCGGTGGATTGCCAATAAAAACAACGGTACCGGCGGCGCGCTTTCAGCGACTTCCTGCTGGCCGCCGTCCGAGGCGCGCGCTAGAAACCGAACTGGTTCCACCATCTGCGAAAATTAGAAGTTAATATACGTGACAGGCGGGAGCCAACGAGTCTGTTTTCGAGCGAGCAACGTTTATCTGTAATTTGTTACGTCACTCGGCAATTCGACTATTAAAGTGATTTAGTGCAGCATCGAAAATTATTTATTGAATAAACAATAATTCGCTTTTTTTACTAAATAATAATAATTTTTAATAATTTTCATGTTCATTATTCCTAATATATTATTGTACATTTAATACAATATTGGGCATTAACCCATTAAGACTAAGGATAGATTTTCAAAAATCATCTAAATTAGGGCAAAACGTCGAAATTTGTTAAAAAGTGAAAAAAAAAATTTGTGTTGGATTTCAAAATTCAAGATGGCGGACCAATATGTCGGTCCGAAAATTTGAAATTTTGACCTATTTGAGTGATAATCCATATAGAGGAGGTTTGGGGTTCGCTGAGTATGAATATGCACTTATTTTTTCAAAATTCGTAATGGAGGATCCAATATGGCCGCCCAGAAATGCGAAAATTTGACATAATTTTGTTATTTGGCGAAAAATCCAACCAAATTATAAACTATCTTTCGAAGATGTTTGTTTTGGGGCAAAACATACTTTAGCAGACTGTAGAAGAAAAATGGTTTTTTTACTTTAAAAATCAATATGGCAGCCAAAAATTTTTAATTTTGATTTATTTCAATGAAAGTACGTTTTGAAAAATTTTGAAAAAATAAGTGCATATTTATACTCAGCGAACCCAAAACTCCCCCTATACGGATTTTCACTCAAATAGGTCAAAATTTCAAATTTTCGGGTCGACATATTGGTCCGCCATCTTGAATTTTGAAATTCAACACAAATTGTTTTTTCACTTTTTAACAAATTTCGACGTTTTGCCTTAATTTAGATAGTTTTAAAAAGCCTATCCTTAGCGATTTTCTTTTGAGTCTTAATGGGTTAATTGACTAAAATTTTTTTTCGATCAAATAATCAAAATTGATCAATCGTTATATATGAAATTGCAAATAATTTCATCGAGTTATTTTTAGCAACTACTAATTTTTAATAATCGATAATAAATACCTATTAATAATAATACACAGGATATTAAAAAAAATGAACATATAATGTAAGCATCCTATATATATAGTTTTAAATATTAATAATTATACATTTCAGATGTAGAACGGAAGCACAAATCGATAATATTAATAATGGCGATTCGACTGTCATAATTATTCGGCACTAATTTGAATTTTCGCGTAATCCCGTCGCGTGGTCTCGGCGCGCTTCGCTTTTTGTCTCTCCGCGAGCTGTTTTCTCGCCGGTTAAAATCGGAGCGTCATGTGTTACGCGAACGCCGCGAGTAATCGCGAGGGCAGAGAAAAGAAACGAGCTCGCGAAAAGATCGGTCCGCGCCATATTTCTCGCGTCGGAGGCTTACAAACGACACGAGTCGCGCGGTTTATTTCGTGACGCGTGATTCACTTCGCGGCGCCAAGCTCCGCGGCTTGTCGCTTGTCGTTCCTTTTCGTCACTTTCCTTCCTTCCTTCCTTCCTTTCCTCTCCCGTCCTCCCGCGCTTCTTCCAAAAGGTCGCGCACTATCGTGACTTAGCACCGTGGGTAATAAAACGCCCGTGACAAATGTCCGCAAGATTATGCGATAGCAATTGATTTGCGCGTCGCGGCGAGGAGTTAGCGCGTCCTACTTGTCTCCCGTGTGTGCGTATTACATTAGCCGTGTTGCACGCCACCACGACTTCTCAATAAATAACTTTCCGTTTAGCGTTAAGAAATGTCACCGTCAATCACGTTTCGGGTCATCAGGTTACATTAACATTCCGACGCGATCATCTATTCAACGACTATGGATATTCAACGACTGATCTACAGTGGAAGAGTCAGGTGACCTTGAATCACTGCGTGTATTATTAATGTATAATCCGTGTATAATCATATTCCTGGGGACACACATTCGGGGAACATGAAGCCTGCATGGAAAAAAGAGATCTGCATATAAACAATTATAAAATAAAAATAATATAAGAATATATATAAGATATACTATAATATAAGAATAAAAAGATCTGCATATAGACATATAGACAACTATAACATAATTTACTGTATTAGCCACTCTTCCTTTGCTACAGGAGCCAATTTCCTTGCTATGATAACAAGAAAATGTGCTCCTGCAATGAAAAAAGTAGCTAAAGCAGTAAATTATGTTTAATTGTCCATCTGTAGCAAATTTGCTACGTTAGCCACTTTTCTTGCTATAGAAGCAGATTTTCTTGTTATCATAGCAAGAAAATAGATTCCTGCAGCAAAGAAAAAATACTAACACAGCGAATTATATTTAACTGTCCATATGTAGCAAATTATTTTTTTCCGTGATGGAATACAACTTGCGGGAAGTCGAACGCTCCCTCTTTCACATGTCATTCCCTTTCAGTCGTGATCGGTTGGACGTTAATTAAGGGAAAGCTCCATATTGATGTTTTTTCTTCTGTGTATTCCAGGCGATGGAGTCGTGAAGTCTTGAATACAATTTGCGGGGCCGAGGGAACGCTTCCCTTTCTATACATGCCATTCCTTTTCAGTCGTTATTATTCGATTGAGCGTCAATGAAAGGTAAGCTCGAATCATATTGATGTTATTTCTTCTGTATTTATAAAGCGCGAGTCTAAGCAAGCGTCTGAGTTGCGACACTCGCGGCGCGAAATCAAACAATGAATCCTTTGATCTCTTTGAAATGACATTCTGGGTCTGTCAGACCGAAACAACTTCGAACTACCATATTTTTGCTGAAAATCAGTATTTTTGGACACTTTTTTCAAAGATATAAACAAGTTTCAGCTATATAAGATAGTAACGCAATAAAATTGGAATCTGTTGGCGGATTTGCGCGACATTTTTCCGGAACCTTTAAGAAAGTTAGTGAGCTATTTAACAATAGTTTGGGTCTCGCAGTCACACATTGTACGCGGAAGATTAATTCCGTAAGTGATACGTCTAGAAAAGTTTTGTAGAAAAATATTAAATTCCTCTTGATTTACTTTAATTATTGTATTTTTGTTTAGCAGATACAAATCAAACAAGTATTATATTTGACTATACATTATACTAATATCAAATATTTTTCAAATTTAGAAAATGTATATATTTTCTTAAAATTTTAAGAAAATCTTTGCTTCTCATGAAAGCAAATGTTCATTGCGCTTAAACAAAAGAGTTTGAATTTAAATAAGTATGTGTGTGTTGTTAATACTCATCAAATAAATTTGTACTATTTTTTAGTTTTTTCTCTCAGTATAGTGATTCAATAGAGATAGATAGTGGTGATTAAAATAATTGCACGATTCTCCCTGAGTTCCCTTTTCTTTAATAAACATATCTAAAGATTTTTTTCTTTATTACTATTTTCTTTGAAGAATCTTGAAAAACTTCAAAGAAAATAGTAATAAAGAAAAAAATCTTTAGATATGTTTATTAAAGAAAAGGGAACTCAGGGAGAATCGTGCAATTATTTTAATCACCACTATCTATCTTTACTGAATCACTATACTGAGAGAAAAAAACTAAAAAATAGTACAAATTTATTTGATGAGTATTAACAACACACACATACTTATTTAAATTCAAACTCTTTTGTTTAAGGGCAATGAACATTTGCTTTCATGAGAAGCAAAGATTTTCTTAAAATTTTAAGAAAATATATACATTTTCTAAATTTGAAAAATATTTGATATTAGTATAATGTTAAAATGTTATTGTAGTACTTGAATAAATATTCACTATTTCTTAGTTATCTTTTCTCACAGTATATCAGCAACGACTCAAAACATTCGCCAAGATTATACGACGTTAACAACTAGAATCAATTTCACGTAACTAGCTTCGTTTTATTCTTCTTCACACTTGGACAAGAACGAACGCCAAGTGCTCTTTGTTCGCTTTCGTCGAAAGGAATAAAGATGTTTACGAAGCTGTATACATGCCTGGTGTATTTTCCAGAACGCAGCTTGAGAGACGATATATAGACATCAACAAACAAATAACAATGAGACGGTATCAACGGCACAAAAACACGTTAATTGTTCGCGATTTCTTTCTGTTTCTCCACGTGCGGACGAAGAAGATCGCGGGACGTCTTTGTGCGCGCTTCTTTGTCCGTTTTCTTGGAAAGAAATTAAACTTTTGCAGCTCGTATTGGCGCTACCGAGTCGTTTCGCACTTCTTAGACCGCATTAAACGAGACTCGGAAGGGTGAAAGTCCGGACGGCGCCTGCTGGACTGAGAGGCACCCTCGTAATCTGGCAATCACCTTTCGGTTAGTTCGACCGACCCTTTCGCGCCCTCTTCGGACCTCTCTTCCATTTAAAAGCCCTGTCACCGGTGCCGCCGGCGAGCAAAATGAAAGGCGAAACCCCACGCTGACGCGTTGACATGATCAGTCCTTGAGTATTAATTTGCATGTTAATCGAAAACTTATTTTTAATTATCTGTATTAGAAAGGGTAAGAGTGCCTTCCGCTGGAGATTACCGCTTATTGCAATTAAGCGAGTCAACTCTAGTTTAGCGACCTAAGAAATTCAGTTCTTGATATATATAGTGATTGTTAAATATTGAATTATATTGCACATAGTCATAAAATGTTAATAGTTGAAGATAACCATCACTTAAAAGAAATAAAGTAAATTGAGTAATCGTTTTTCTCAGTAGTGGAATATTTTTTTATGTAGATATTTATAAAAATAAGTATATGTTAAGAAAATACTGAGTCTCTTAACGAACCAATTTGTTTAACTAAACTGTAAAAAATGAATATGTCAATAAAAGGTTAAGTGTATTCTTACAAATTTTATGGCTCACCTAATAATGATATTTAGATTGATGAAGCAACGTCAAAATATTCATCGTGAGGTAAATAATTCCCCATCCTCTCTTCCTTCCTGAAATTTTATTGAAACATACCGCGAGCACAACCGCTATGAATCTTATAAAGATCCGCGGACCTCGTAAATATAAACATTCATGGTATCCTTCGACGGAGGGAGAGCGACAGAGAAAGCGGCTAGATATTATCTCTCGTCGTAATTCATCGCAAAAAAAACACGCCGTTTCCGAGACACGACGTCCCGTCTCCAAACGGACCGGCCCCCCTTTTCTTCTTTCGCGCGATAGCCATCGCAAATTTTACGCGAGCGAGGGGGCGGCCGATTTATCGGCCGCGACGAAAGTGATATCGCGGGCACGCGCGCGCAGTAGCGAGGGTAAAATTTTGATCGGCGTATTTTCTTGTCCGTACAGTTGTACGTACGCCGCCGGAAGGGTGGTAGTCGAGAGGGTGCGAGCGAGCGGCGCGTACTTCCACGGCCATTGTGTTGCTAGGGCGATTCAGTGACCCCCCGCGGATATTGCCCGTCGCCGAGGGTGAATAAAAAAGGGAGGATACCAACCCCTGGAACCGCGGGATAAATATCGCTCGCGGGACCCACCCACGTAAGAATTCCTAATTCAACGCCGGGAAGACGAAAGGGGAAGGGAAGAAGGGAACAAGGGCACGCCTTGTGTGTGCACGTGTGGAACCCTCGTACTTTATCGATCTCTCCTCGGCCCCCTCAGGAACGCCGCGGGGATGGACTCGTGCGAATCCCAGCACGAAATGGAAAGGTGCACCTTCCTTCGTTTCCGGCGTCGCGTTATCACACAAAATTGCCGCACGCTTGCTTTCAGTACGAACGCTTTTCCCGATCCGGCGGTTTGGAACGCAGCTGGTCGTCTAATGAGAGAAACAGTTTTTATTATTAATTCCCGAAAGTTAAGTTCCCTCACTGTACCATCGACCGCGTGCCCAACTGCATCGAGAGAAGTGTTCAAACCATTTTGAAGCCGAGCACGCACTCGTTTGTAACAAAAATTGTCATAGAATTTTGTAACCGAGAAATAGGTCGATATTTTTCTGCAATAATTGACTTTTCTTTCATTTAATATATACTATTTATATTTTGAGATCTGAAAAGCTTATGCTATTTTATTATTACGTTTACTAAACGTTTTTATTATTAAAAGATTTGTTATGTTCCCAGAAAAATTCACTATATTCTAACTATATTCTATAACAATTAAAAGTTAAACTATGAAGACAAAATGACATTTATCTTGCACACTGAGAGAGAAATATAGTTGCTTTTGACGTCAACTATATGTTTTTGTGACCACAAAAATAATTAGAAGAACCATTATTTTAGTAAGTTAAAAGTTAAACTATGAAGACAAAATGACATTTATCTTGCACACTGAGAGAGAAATATAGTTGCTTTTGACGTCAACTATACGTGACCACAAAAATAATTAGAAGAACCATTATTTTAGTAAGTTAAAAGTTAAACTATGAAGACAAAATGACATTTATCTTGCACACTGAGAGAGAAATATAGTTGCTTTTGACGTCAACTATATGTTTTTGTGACCACAAAAATAATTAGAAGAACCATTGTTTTAGTAAGTTATTAGAAAGATAGTTCTTCTAATTATTTTTCTGGTTAAAATCACAAAAAAGTACAGTTGACGCCGAAAGCAACTATATTTTTCTCTCAGTGCAGTCGTTGCTCGTCGCTCGACTGATTTTTAAAGTCCACATGTCCGAGCGCGGCCGATGCTAATGAGCGACAGCGACGATGACGGCGAGAACCCGGCGTGGATTTCACGGTCAACGTGCGTGCGGCCCCGGCCAGTCTGGGCGTCGGGACGCCCGGCGCCATGTCTGTACGTCCCTGCACCCTCGCGGCGCCCGCGGAGACTCATAAATTTCCTGACAGGAGAGCGCGCGCGGGCGCCGTTTCGTTTACCTTATCGGCCCCGAGCGAGACGCACGGCGGCGAAATATTGCAAATTTTTCGCGCCGGCGCGCTTTCTATCCCTCGATCTCGCGCCGATCGATCGATCGATATTAAAAAGTAATTTTCATTCGATGGAAAGCACAAAATATTCGATTGAGTATATGATGATTTTAAGTATTTGATGTAGTTTTTAAGTTTTAAGTTCTTAATTTCTTAAGTTTTTAAGTTCTTAATTTTTTAAGTTTTTAAGTTTCTTAAACTTTTGAGTATTTGATGTGTGTTACGTTCCAGGTTCCCCATTTAAAATTATACTCAAATTAAATATACTCAAATTACCCGAGTCAAAATTTAGATCCTATGTTGAACTTTGAATTCTATACCGCAGTAGTACACCGCTAAGATAGCGAATTAGGTTTAATTCTAACGATATAATTTACTCCTACTTTGACCCTGATGATGTCTGAAATTTTCGCTTTCGCTTTCTTTAGCATCAAAGTAGATTGTATAATAGTAGGATTTTAGGAAGTAAAGTAGGTCCAGTTGCGAATTGAAGTCTCTATTGAAGCTTTAGCTCCTACATAGAATATATGTATTTTATAGAATTCAAGGTTCAACGTGGAGTCAAAATTTCGACTTAGAAATGAGTGTCAATATTGTCAAAATACGTTTCACCTAGGTTGTAGATTATCTAAGTAGGCTCAAACTATTTTTAAGAGCATGAAAGTGGCGTCAAAATTTTGACAAGGTAGAGTTAAAGGAGTCAAAAGAAAACTTAATAAGTATCAATATCGTCATAGTAAGTTTTACCTGGATTATAAACCGTCTAAGTAGGCACAAACTATCCTTAAGATTATCGTCAAAGTAGCATAAAAATTTCGACTCGGGTAACAATCATTGTTTCATATATAAGCAACGATATAATAATATAGTTAGGAAAATTGTAAAGTCTTGAATTTTAATAATGTTGTAATTTTACTTGAATATTATAATAATCTCATAAGAAACACAATATGATTATTTTGGCGATAATGATATCTTCTTTCGGTATTTAAAACCATCATATTCTCCATCTGATATTTTGTGCTCTTTAATAGAAATTATTTTTTAATAATACAAACACAGATTTTTCTTCGTGTCGAATTGTATAAAATATATTCCTGCAAGTAACTTCTCTTCGTTTAACGCTATGTAATCTCATTTGAAAATTAACATGTCAAAAATAAAGATATTTCTGAAGCAAGAATGTCCTTTTTTCTGTGCAGCAGAACTACGCAGCGTCTGGATGCTGCAGACGAGAAAATGACCTCCGCGATAACTCGCCATTGTTCTTATTAACGCGGAATATGGTGATTTGTGTGCTAATTGCTTGTCTGTATGCATTATGCATACGCGGCGGCCAGTTTTTATGGCGTGAATTCGCATTAAAATAGGGGACGTCGCAAAAGATATTTTATAGAGACGATTAAATGTATAAAAATATTGAGTATATCTTTCAAAGTTCAGAGTTACAGCATTATTATCCTTGGAACCTACGTCGCTCGCTTTTTTCTTTTTCTTTCTTTTTTTAACGAGATTTCTTTTCTTAGTTTCGTTACGAAATGTATTTCTGGTGTTTTCATTTTTATATATATCAACTGGCGAACGCTACTACTAGTACCATCCGAGTCAAAAACTTTAGCCCTATTTTCGACCCGGATTTTATAACATCTGTATATATTCTGAAGGATCAATGTATATTTAATACACATGGAAACAGACGTCCTACTTGGTGCCTCTAAATTGTAGAAAATGTACAAAATGTTACTTGTACACGGAGAGAATTTTATAGTAAAGATCACTATAGGACTTTGTAACCGAGGAATAGATTCATATTTTGCAGTAATAGACTATTCTTTCATTTTATATATGCTACTTATATTTTAAAAACAGAAACGTACTATTAAAACACTTGCTATGTTTCTAGCAAAATCTGCTGTTTTTGGTCAAATTTTTACTATATTTCTTAGCAAAATAAATTGTACTAACAGTCTATTTCTAGACTATTAAAAATAGTAAAATATAATAGTAAAATTAAAAAGAATTTATGTGAAAAAATAACTATAATTTTCACTCCATGTTCTAAAGAGACTCCTCGGCAAAATTATAGGTTAAATAAAATCAAAAGATTGACAGAAAAGGTTTCAGAATTATCAAAGTGTGTGTTAAATGGAATATTGAAGTCAAAAGAAGGATAACAATTTCGAGTCGGGTACAGACGTGTCCATGAAATCTTGATTAAATAATCTCGCAAAAAAATAATTTTCGCAAATATCATAGATAGATATAAAAATAAAATTCCGTCGCACACGCTAATCTCAAACAACGTTCCTTCGAATAAAGACGTTCGAACTCACCTTGCGAAACTACGTCGATCCACGGTAAAATGTATATCGCGCGCGTAAATGCGTATCGCTGACCTTTCATGGATATTTATTTGCATGCTCTTTTATTGCACTCGACGTTGCATAATATGCGCATAAAACGCAACGGCGAGATTCGTATCGCGCCGGCCAATTCCTGCAATTTTGCTCTGTGTATGGGCGACTCTCGGCGTGTCCTTCGAGGGTATCGATCAGTCCTGCCGGCGCGGCGAGTAGCCGAAATTCGTGTCGGATGCGTTCCCGTAGCGCGGCTATCCGGATTGCAACCAGGGATGTGCGATTTATCAAATTGTGTATCGCGACGCGATATTTTTTAAGAAGCGCCATGAATTCGATATGTCGTATCACAATTGTGTGTCGCAAATGTTATTTCAAATGTTATTTCGCGCGTAATTTTTGCAAACTTTATATCACTAACGCGATTCTTAATCATAAGGAGGCATGAAATCATAATATTTAAATAAAAGATAAACATATTAACAATAAATAAATCAACCCGATATTTAAATAAAAGATAAACATATTAACAATAAATAAATCCCTGAATCGAAATTTTGATGTTACTTTGACGCTCTTAAGGATAGTTTGCGCCTACTTAGACGGTTTATAGCCTAGGTAAAACCTACTTTGATGATATTGATACTCATAAACTTCTCTTTTGAACCTTTAACTTTACCTTGTCAAAATTTTGACGCTACTTTGATGCTCTTAAAAATAGTTTAAGCTTACTTAGATAATCTACAATCTAGGTGAAACCTATTTTGACGATATTAACACTCATTTCCGACTCGAAATTTTGACCCTATG